GATTAACTTTTTGATTGAAAATAAATTTTATTTTATACATTATGTTTTGATTATGTTGACCCTCTCCACTTTGCCACCCATCAGAATCCACACTCCCTCCTTCTCTTATCAGAATGTACAATATAATAATATAAAATAAAAACAAACCAGAATACTACAAACAGAAGAGAACAAGCCAATGGAATGTATAAGAAGCATATATAGATGTAGAGACATACACATTTGCACATACAGAAACCCTATAAAAACACAAAAGGGAAAATCTTAATATATACACAAAGGACATGTAAAGGGATAGAGAAGCCCAGACAAAGTATTATGAGGCAACCTCCAAAACTGTCATCAAATTCACTTTGTGTTGGTTATCTGTGGTTGGGCACAAGTTCTGGCCTTAAGAGTGGTTTGTATACCCACTGAGACTACATTGGATCAGTTTTCAATCAGAGAGAGCTTCTGGGTTAGGGACAGGGTCATGTGTCTACTTCACCTTTCAGCACCAGATTTCTACTTGATCTACACCTGTATCTCCCCTGTACATGTTGCCATTGTCTTATGAGTTCATATGTATGTAAGCCCTAATGTGCTGAGAAGGCTTTGTTTATGCCATACCCTCTTTCTGTCTCCTTTTCTGTAGGGTTCCCTCAGATCCAAGGGGAGGGATTTGATGGAGACACCACACTTTCTTCACTGAAAATAGGTTTTCAATTAAATAACTCAGTAAATTAAATGAACATGTATCTGTGTTCTTCTTAATTATATCCATGAAATGGAATACAATTATAGTTCTCAACATTCATTAAAAAATAATTCATTGCTTCTTAGCCTTTTGGCTAAGGTCAAGTGTTCCAAGTTCTGAGTGTTCCAAGGTCTTTGACTGTCTGCCATTGTCCATTTGTGGGTCTCTGTATTTGTTCTCGTCTACTGCAGGAAAAACAAAACAAAACAAAAAAAGCTTCTCTGATGAAGACTGAGAAGAATGCCATTAGGGGCCATTTTATTTCTATATCCTTTGGCAGATTCGGATTTGATCATCCCCTAGGTCTCTATTCAGGTCTCTATTCTAGGTCTAATTTCAGGTTCTTATCCACCTGAGCATATTGGGGACTTTAAACTGAATCAGATATTGATTGGTTACTACCACAAGGTTTTTGCCACTAATGTAGTAGTGCATCTTGCATGCAGGTCTCCATTGTAGATCAAAAGTTTTATAACTGAGTGGAATTTGACCTTTTTCCTTTGGTAAGGTGATCACTTGTCAGTAAGGGCAAGGCACTGGCTAGGGAGGCACCAGGTTGATTTTACCATGTTCAATGAGTTGGATAGTTGTTTTCGTCAGTAATGCAGGCTTACCATCATTTTTGGAGAGCAACAGAAGCTGAATGAATAAAGGGAAGAAACGGGGCAGGATGGTGTAGAAAGTTTATTTCTACTAAAGTGGTGAACTTGTATTGAACCAGACCGAATATGTTGGTAGGCCAATTGAGCTGAAAAGCCTTGACCTCTCTCACTGAAAATCATATTTGCTCCAAGACTTTTAGAGATCTATAGACATATTTATGTAAAAACTATTGTAAGCATCTAAACAAATGCTTTGGATTCCAAGGAGAAATAATCTTAGATTGTTTTACACAGCTATCTACTGTAACTTCTTACTGCAGACCTCTCAAACAGTAACTTTTGCTGCCCACATTTTTGTGATTCTAAAACCATTTCTCAGCATTGCAAAAATATTGCATTGTTAAAATCAAATATCCATGATAAAGTTTTGAACCCTCCCAGCTCATCTTAAATATTTTTACATTAGGGCTGTGCTAGGAGGCATTTGACTGTAACTTAACACTTCATCATGGCCTAAAAGAATGATACTCTGAGTTTCAAAGTAATGCTGTTGGCAAAATGACATCTTATACTTGATCCTAGCTAAAAGTCCAAGGAGAAGTAACGTTAGTATTTTTTCATGGAAGCTGAGAGCTATAGTAAAATTCCATTTATGTATATAATAAGGACAAGGCAACCCAGTTAGGGGAACGGGATCCATAGACGGGCAACAGATTTAGGGACAGCTCAGCTCCAGTTGTTGGGAGACCTTTATGAAGACCAAGTTGCACATCTTCTACATATGTGCCAGAGGCCTTGATCCTGCAAGCATCTTTAATAAAAGTGATGGAGCTGAAGATAAGGCTCAGCATATGTTTGCTTCCTACTCTTCTGGTTTGTATATGATATAGATCTTACACAAAAAAATCTCTTACTCTAATTCTTCACCTACTATACCTTACTAGGAAATAAAAAATAATCAAAAGAGAGACTGAAAAACCAACGATAGAATGCGTTAAAAAATACTAATAAGTAAATAGGAAGATGGCTCAGCTGATAAACTGACTGACACACAAGCATGAGGAACAGAGTTCGATACTCGTAACCTACGTAATAAACCAGGAAAGGTGACTTTTCAGTCCCAGAGATTGCAAGGCAGATACAGGCAAATGTCAGCTCTCTGGCTAACCAATATAGGCTAACTGGTGAGCCTCAGACCCCAGTGAGAGACCCTCTCTCCAAAAGGAAAGCTGAGGGCTCCTGAAAAGGGCAATGTAAGGTTGACTCTGCCCTCCATCCACATGCATGAAGCCAACTGATACAACCAACTCTGCTTATTTCTTAGTTATAAGTGTCTGATTGAGGGTGGATATATTTATGACTGTGAGGACTGATCTTGGAAGTTTATATAGATCCATCACAGAACTGAGCAAGTCAAGTCAGTAGTAGAAAATGGAGATAGTGAGAGTGTTTCCGAAGAGAAGATAGAATCATAGTCCATTCAAATGATGAACTAACGAGCACACAGAAGAATTTAGTGATAAGAGTTATTAAAAGAGAAGTATTAGAGTTGGTGTTTATCATTCACTTTTTCTTACTTTTATTGAAAATATATTCTTTTCTTATATAATAGATTCTGATTATAGTTTCCCCTCCCTCTGCTCTTGACAGTTTGTCCCCACGTTCTTTCCTCTATGGATCTACTTCTGTCCTGTCTCTCGTTATAAAAGAACAGGCTTCTAAGAGATAACAACCAAACATGACAAAATGAAATATAATCAGATGGAGCAAAACCTATCATATCAATGTTGGGTATGCTACCGAACAGAAGGAAGAGAGTCTCAAGAGCAAACACTAGAGTCAGAGAACCAGTCAGGGGTCCCATAAAAATTCTAAGCTAAAAGCTGTAATATATACATGGAAGACCTGGTGCAGACATATGTTGAACATGAGCTTGGTATTTCAGTTAGAGTTGTTGGTATAGACCATATACACACATCAGCTTTTGACTAGTCATGTGTAAATTTTCTCTTTAATGTTTGGAAAAATAGCCTACAAAAGATGAAGTTTGCAAATGATCTAAGACTTTTTTTATAAATTAGTTGACCACAAAATGAGAGATGACAATGCCTTCTCACCCATTGGGGACAGTTTCAGCTCAGTAGTAGAGTCTCTGCCTAGTATGTATAAGACCCCAAGATTGACCTTAACACCTCAAAGACGTTTTCATTTTTGTTGGGATATTGATGTTGTCCAATTAAACCAGTGCAGAAAAAGATTAAATGTTCCAAATTTTTCTCATCAAAAGACAGTCTTGGTTTTTAATATGAAATTCCTGGGATTCCAAAGCCCAATAGTTTCTAGTCTTTCTGACCACCCCCCATTCAATCTTCCCAAATTCATCATTGTGTAACTTCCCTTTAATTTAAATACCATTATAGAAGTGACCACAAATAACTCGCACAACCTCACTGGCTTCTGTTTTATTATTTGCAGAAATCTTAGAATTGTTCTGAATCACATAAAATATCAGTGTAACTATCAACTAACTATCTGTGTCACCTCTAATGTGTACTTGAGATTGCAAACCAAGATGGCAAAAACCTGAAAGGACAAATATTTGGGGATCACATAGATTGGTTGTTATGATACTGTCAGAATTCATATGAGTCAGAGCATTATGGGTTATTTATTCCCAGCAACAGCACTGGCGATATTTCTCTTTACTGTTTTTAAAGATTTATAGCTTTGAGCCAGGCATGGTGGTGGATCATATTAAACTTTGATTGCAGCACTCAAGAAGCAGAGTCAGATGGATTGCTGTGAGTTTGAAGCCAGCTTATTCTACATAGCAAGTTCTAGGCCAGTGAGAGCTACAACATGAGACCTTGTCTTTAAAACAAAACAAAAAATCTGTTTAATCCGTGTTCTGCAAACATCTTTCCTTATTTATTTATTTATTTATTTATTCATTCATTCATTCATTCACTTTACATCCTGATCACTACCCACCTCCTCCTGGTACTCCCCCCACACATACAGTCCCTCCCACCATTCCCTCTCCCCATCTCCTCTGAGACTGTAGGAGGCCTCTCCTGGGTATCCCTCTACCTGGCACATCAAGTCTTTGCAGTGTTAGGTGCATCCACTCTCTCTGAGGCTAGACAAGGTAGCCTAGTTAGGGGAATGGGATCCACAGGCAGGCAACAGACCCCGCTTCAGTTGTTGGGGTACCCACATGAAGACTGAGCTGCACATCTGGTACCTATGTGCTGGTGGTCTTAGTCCTGCAAACATCTTTAAGAAAAGTGATGGGGCTGCAGATAGGGCTTAGCAGTTAAGAGCACTCACTGCTCTTGTCGAGGACCCAGGTTCAATTCTCAGCACTCACATGACAGCTCACACCTTCTGTAACTCCAGGTCCAAGGGTTCTGATGCTGTCTTCTGACTCTCATGGGCTCTTGCTGCATGTATATTGTCTCTTGCCTTCATCCATGCACATAAAATAAATATTATTTCAGAGACAAAAATGATGTGATCTGAAAACATGTATAGTACTCAGCTGGCTCTTTCACCTAAGAAAACAATGTGCCTGGATTATTTCAGGAAAATTAGTTCTAGAGTTTCAGTTATGCTGACCTGTAATTTATGGATGCGTATATGTTTTTACTTTGTAAATATAGTTCATTTACCCCCAAAATGCAAGGCAGACGGATGGGGACCTCAGGAAGAGCCATCATCAAGAGCACCAGTGTAAGTGGAGAGATATATACACTGGAACATAATGACGGGAGCCAGTCGGACACGGCCGTGGGTACCGTCGGAGCCGGTGGAAAGAAGCGGAGGTCCAGCCTGAGTGCCAAAGTGGTAGCCATTGTGTCTCGGAGAAGCAGAAGCACATCGCAACTCAGCCAGACAGGTGAGCACAGAGCTCTCCACCCCCCAACTCGTGGGCTGTGTCGGAGACGCAGGGGTTGTGGTCTTCACGTCAGAACTTGAGATAGAACTGTGTGTGTACTTGCTTTCTCTTTTACTGTTTGAAAAAAAAATCTGCTGAATGCATGGTCTTTATTTTTCCTTCTATGCAGCTCACCGAAGAAGGTATTGTTGGTTAGCTTATAAAGCTATCAAATATTCTCCTTTAAGTTAAATATATATATAACCAAAGTCATGTTTACAAATATGCAAGGAAATGCAAAGAAGTGTTTGACATCTAAATTGGTTCATCCACAAGAAAGGCAACACGATTCTTATTTCCAAAATGTTCCTTAACACTCATGCACGCCTTCGAGGCGATGAGTGCCCGTACTTTTTGTGGAAAAGGTCAGTTGTGCAACTCGAAGTATATAATCTTCAAGGCTCTGCTTGGATGCACTTGAGCTCTGTTATGGTTTCAATGCGACAATGCAAGTGAAAACCCAGAAGCAGTTTTGACTTTAGAAGAAATGGGTCAGTGGATTTATGCAAAGGTTGTTTTCATATAAATGTGTGCTTCGGGCATTTTTTATGGAGTCAAATCTAAAGAAATATACCCTGAGGATGTGTTTGTATGTACACACACCCAAACAAGGGGGGGGCGCTCATGGATTTTGCACTTCAAAATACAATAAAGCACTCATTAAAATTTCATAATATTTGATTTTACATATTGCATAAACCATCACTATGTTCCTATTAGGTCAAAGCAAAGGTAAAGGAAATTGTGAAACAGTTTAACTTGTCAGTTTGTTTCTCTTCCTGTTATTAGTGTTTTCTCCTTAATAACAATGTCCCTGTTGTCACAACACTTACTTATGTAAGAAGGCTTTCACAGAATCTCAAAGCTCACTCAGCTTTCTAGAATAGCTATTTTAAACAGTATTACGTGGGATGATGTTGACAAATAAGTTGTAAGACTTTTTCAGCCATTTGAACCACTAGAGCATGCAATCTATGGCTTCAGAACTGTGTCAGAGACACCAAGGAACAGAAAGTACCAAGATGGTTTAGCATCCCAGTAGGATAAGTTCCTGTTTGCTGTGTTTATAGGACAACCGTTTGTCTGCCTTGGTGTTGGTTTTTTTTAAGAAGAGTAGAGCAGTTCCCCTGTGCGTTATTTTGTTGTGGCAAGTTTATGGTGGTTCTTCCTCCTCTGTACCTGTCTCCATCCTTATGCTCTGCAGCATAAGATATGGAGAGAGGCTTTGGCTATCAGATTGTAACTTGGGCTAGGGAGATGGCTCAGCTGGGAAAGAATGGTACTTGCAGCCAAAGCCTGATAACTCAAATTTACTCCCTGGTACACACAGATGGAGCGAGAAAACCAACTCTAGATTGTTCTCTGACCTCCACTTGCATGACCTGGCACGTGACATCTCTGTGCATATGCAGAGACACACAGGAACAGACACAAAAATTTAAAAAAAAATTCTTTTGAGACAGTGTCTCTCTACATAGCCCTGGCTGTCCAAGAACTTACAATACAGACCAGGATGGCCTTGCACTCACAGAGATCCACCTAACTCTACCTTCCAAGTACCAGAATTAATGTGCACCACCATGCCCAGCTAGTTATATTTTTATTGAAAGAAAAATGTGACCACTTGGATTAGGTGGAAATGTCCTTAAATGCCATGTACAGAAGCCTGTGTTGCCTGTGTGAAATGATACATAATCCCTCCTCTGCCCTCTCTCTCCTAATCCCTGTTCCTTCTTCTCTTCATGACTTCCTCCCCTTGTTAGTTCCTTCATTATGTTAGTTCCTTCATTAGCTGAAAATAATTTTCTTAAACTTGTATAGAAGCTATCCAGGTGCAGCATCCTAGGTTTTAATAACTTATATAGAAACACTTCCCTTCGCTTCATTGGTTTAAATTTGATTCCAACTGTGGTTATGTGTTGAGTTCCACATAATATCTACCTTACAAGTAATGTGCACTGTTAATAATGTTACTAACTTATATGAAGTACGCCGCTTTGTGAGATTTGGTTGCAATAAATAGGTGAAAAAAGCATATTGGAATACAAAGAGAAGATAGCAAAGACTTCTCTGTCTCACAGCCTCCCTTACCTCTCTGCTCCCATCCCCACCAGCAGATGGTACTAGGCAGCCTCCTATGAACTTTCCAGATATCACATTTTACAATTTTCTTTAAGAGTATTACTTATAAATTATATTATTTTTATATTTTCATATTTTATATTATTATATTATTATAAATTAATAAATAAATTTTATTTATTTTATTTTATTGATTGGTTTTTTTATTCCTTTAGTAATCTTCCCTTAAATATTATCTGGATTTCACCACAAGTGACAGATGTTGGGAATGCTCTGCTGTCATTCTTGTGACCTCAGACCAAGCCTGCCTTCCCCAGTTCCGTCCTGTGCTCATGGGTCCCTCTCCCTCCCTTGGGAATGATATGTTGTCATTCCTATAGAGCTCACCAAAATTAACAATATTTTTCTTCCAAGCGGTCTCTTTATTTATTATTTCATGTTTTACTTCCTCTATTAATTTATACTTCTGAATTCTTTATCGCCCAACAATTAAGGCTTCCTTTTTATTTCCTCTTTAAACACCTGGAATTTCCTCCATTTCTCAATTTTTAACCCACCCTTTAAGGAATATGGCAGCTCCTTTTATAATTAAAATACTACTCATTTCTTCTAAACCCTTCTCCAGGGCTAGTATTCCCCATTCCTTACCCAGCGTGTATCAAGCCTAGGATTACTGATTTGATTTTGTTGTTGTTGTTGTTATAAAATAAAACCACTAACATTTGACTAGCGATGAACTGCAGAGAGCCTCCTGGTAGAGGAAGAGTTATGTGAGAATTTGTAATGGAGTGAATTGATCAGTGGTTCTCAAAAGACAATACATATTACTAATACCTGAAAACAACCTGGAGCTTGTATTTAATATACATCTCTAATTGCTTTTACTGTAGAAATCAGACTTGGGTGTAGGACTCGTTGCAGCTAGCCTGGATCACAGGTCCTCACTGTGTGTTGTCACAGATGACACAGTTTCAAAAATGTGAAGGACCCAGAAGTGGAATTTAGCCCCATCAGGAATGACTGGCTTCAATGGCATCATTTACTGGCTGTGTTTCTATAACAACAAATATACACAAATGAGTATGTTGGATCATTGTTCACAATCAAGTAAAATTTCTTTTCAAAACTACCAAAATCACAGAAAATGTATATAAATACACAGTTCATTTACTTTTGCATACATTATATTGCAATTTACAGTTAATACTTTTAATATATATTTGTGTGTAATTAGTTTATATGTGTTACTATAAATGATATCTAATTTTTATATAATGTGCAATATATGAGTTTTGATTCCATAAGTAATTATTCTGATAGAATATTTTGATTTCTAATCATATTAAAATCACCCCTACAACATTATCTAAGATTAAAGTAGAAATAACTTTGAAGAATATAGTATTTTAAATTAGCAGAATAGTACAAACGGGGGGGATTCTAAATAGTGTCTCTAGGTAACAATCATGCTTAATGCTTTCTGCTAATCAAATATAACTAGAAACAAAATTTCAAGGAATTAAAAAAAAAGAAATGAACATGATCAGAATACAGTTTAGTGGAATACAAGATGCCATCCCCAGGGAATGATAGGGGTTAAGGAAAGGAGACAACATGGGAAATAGGGTTGGAAGCAGCAGGATCTGGGGATGAATGGAGGATAAAGAGCAGTAGCAAGGAAGTTACAAGCTTGAAGAGAAGCTTGGTAGTGCTACAGGAAGTGAGGAAGGGATAACAGGGGACCCCAGGATTTAGGGACTGAGACATTTCCTCTGACTTCCTTTTACAGGGAAAAATGAGGGTAAGTGTAGAGGATGTCCCCAGTGTGGAACACGCTTGAGCACAAAGGGATGCTCACCCCACCCTCCTTCTTGTCCACCTCAGTTCTCTCCACAAACATCACCTCACACACACTTCCAATCTAGAATCAGGATGGTGATCTCGTCAGGGATGAAGGAGGCAGGATAGGAGATGCTGTGTGGTGGAGTGATCCAAAGTATGGGGCAAGAGTGAGCATCCTGGGGGTGAGCCAGAGCCATCTCCATCATCTCTGAAGTTTGCTCATCCAGATGAGTTCGTGGATAGAAAACTAAGCAACAAGGGGTGATCGCAATGAATTTCACTTCTAAAAGTTCAGCAGTGAGGAGTAAAGATCAACTGTGGCGAGTCTTCATCCCTTCAATTACATCATCACTTTCTAGAACATTTTTAATTCACCATGCTTTGTAACTGAGGAAGACCTTGCGTGCTCTCTCTCTCCCTCTACCCTCTCTTTTGTAGGTATAGGTATTGTTCAGATAGAGAGGAAACTGAATATATTTTTCAGGATGCACTGGATAAGTTCTCAGTGGAGGGAAGAAAAGTTAAAGTCCACGCAATAAAATAATAAACAGATAAAGTCAAACTTCCAGAAGACAGAGTTGATGTAAAGAAACATATCACGTGATCTATATTGAAACCTGAATGAACTTGAGTCATAGATGCCCTTGGTCAGTGTTAACCTGGTGGTAGACAAATGTGGGAATGCAGGGGTAGGGGGATTTGCAGAATTAAGTAGTACAGGTTACATGTGATGGTCAATAGCTGTCTTAGTCAGGATTTGTATTCCTGCATAAAACATCATGAGCAAGAAACAAGTTGGGGAGGAAAGGGTTTATTCATCTCACACTTCCACATTGCTGCTCATCAGCAAAGGAAGTCAGGACAGGAACTCACACAGGGAAGGCGCTTGGAGGCAGAAGCTGATGTAGGGACCATGGAGGGACTCTTGAGTTCATATTGTTGTATTCTTTACAGCTATGAGATAAAGTCTAGTAGGACTTATACAATGAAGATGATGTTTTTTTAATGTACTGATGGCACAGACGCTAGGGACTTGA